TTAAATTTTCGTTGACGAAATTCTAACAGTAGGTTCTAAATACAAGAACAATTTCGCTACCATTACCTGATGATATTGCTACTTAAATTAGTATAATCGAAATATCTATATTAGAACCTGTATAAAAGTATTTTTAAGATCATGTTTCACTTTTTTGAATAATTTCTGATTTTAATTATTTTTCAATTTGTAATTTTATACGGATTTCTGACAATGTTATTTAAATGTTAATGCAAATACATTAATGTTCATATGGCGGATATCAGATTAAGGTGTATTTCTGGTAGAGATGGAATTTGTTCACTTTCCTGAAAGCATTGTGTAGCTTATGGAGACATGCTATGACTTTCAAAATATTTATGAGTATTTGTCAGAAAATCAGGCATTGAATTTATCATTGGTATCATCAGATGATGAATGTATCGGTAGGTCGCAAACCTTTTGCGTTACTTCATTCTTGACATCATACTACTTGGTAGATTGATATAGCAACATGTTTAAAAAATTTTTTACTTGTTATTTGAACTAGAATACTCATTTCAACATATATTTTAAAATATTTGCTATCTAAAATTTAACTACAAATCAAAAAAAAGCCATCATTCCAAATTGGATTGAATTGATAAGTGAAACATTTCACTCTTTCTCACACTTCAGCTCCTTCTACTATTGCGATAATTTCACTTTTCAGTGGTTCTTCTGCAAAGCATGACCGAGCTGCATTCAAACTCTGCAACTCAGTGATAGTTAATTGATCAACTAATTAACGAATCAATTAATTGTTTTTCCATCAGCTTGGAAAAATAAAGGTGTCTATATCATTATCTTACACTATCAGTCACATTTAATCTATTATCTTCTCATTCCGTTTCTCGAAGATACAAGTGGGTTTAATGAATGTCACTATTGAAATATTTTTCTCTCTCTTCTCTGTATTCTTGAACTAATTGAAACAAAATTATGTTACTTTTTGATTATATACATGATATTTTGAATATATGTTACCTTTTTTCTTCATCAAAAAAAAAAAAAAATTTGACAAATTTATTAAACTTACACATTCCCAAAGTTGCTTTCTAGTCAAGCCTATTTCTTGATGTGCAAGTTGATATTCACTTAACAAGCTGTTATTAAAACATGTTGGATCATCGGTGCTCAACGAAAAGTTAATATTGTCAGCTGCAAATCTGTAAAATGAATAAACTTTTGACAATGTTTATTTCTGTTAGCATCAAATTTGATGAATGAAACTTTTCTGAAATTGATGCAAAACAAATGAAATTGAGAGTCTTTGTTTTGATGTGAAAGTATGTTTAAAATATTAAAGTTAGCTGACTCAAAAAATTATGAATAGACGAACCGTTTAACCGGATGCTCACACCATAATAATGGTACGGAACCGGTCATAACGGATGATTGAAGACATGCTTCAAAATGTATTCGCTTTTCAATTGCATATTTTTTGTATGCACATTCATCACGGAGTAATCGATATCCGTGACCGATTCTTTCTGCATGCATTTCTTCGATTGCCTAATTCGAAAAAAAATTTTTCTTTCTAATGAAATTAAAACTTTTATTTCAAAAAATTTCAAACTACTTCAGTTCTTTCCATAAATCAAAATATAGCACTTCGTAATTTCGTATTTTCTAATTTCAACAAATGAAAAGAATTATTTCTCATTATTCATCCTACATTTCATTTACAATTCCAACTTTTCGCTCCAACAATTATTCCTATTTCTTGAACTTTGAACTTCAATCAAAAATTTTGTTTAAAGATTTTACACTCAAATAAAAAATAATTCACATTTGTAACTTCCTTTGGACCGCTACTTTCACCGGCATGTACGGTACGATGGATATCTCGTTTAGCTGCTTCCTGAAATATAGTCAAGAATTTTTATTATTCATCGTCATACTATATCTAATCATTGCAGAAACATAATTTCCTGAACCTAACGTTGAAGAAATTCAGTAATGATTAATTTGATATATGTAATACATATCATTTTAACAACATTTATTTCACTTAACATGTTAGATTTTTTTCTTTTTTTTTTTCAAATTGATCAATTGATTAAAAGAAATAAATAATATTTGAATAAACCTGAAAAAGTTTTGATACACTTGGCGGATACTGCTCATCAGCTCCCAACGAACATCCTGCTATATCGATGCCAACAACTCCTTCATTTGACATATTTGTTGCTAAATGATATCAAACAATGATAAGATCATCATTGAAAGAAGATAGAAAATATTTAATCAATAATTCATTAAAAAAAATCAATATTCACACCGAGTTCAAGTACTTCATCATTCCAATCATGAAATCCATGAATGCAGCATAAAATTGAACGTGCTTTCACACCGAATTCTTTTTCACCACAATGCAGACCTCGTCTTACCGCTTCCACAACACCTCGTGGTTCCAGCTAGAAACTTGTTAATAACAATCGATAAATTCTTCTATTTCTAATTAAATTTCATTACAAGGATTATTTATGAATGATGAAGTAACTAAACACTATGATTAAGCTATATATCTCTTCCTAGCGATTGATGCAATCCATCAAAATGATCCATTTAATTTGTTTACTAAATTAACTCCTATTGATTCTTTAACTAATGTAAAAGTTTGAAATTTAAATTTCTAATCATGCTATGGAATGAAATATCGAAATCAAAAAATAGTCACAATTTTCCTATCATTAAAATAAATTAATAATTAATTAGCCTACTTTTCCTTTCTTTGTATAAACTCCATATTTCGAATTTGCAGCCGTATTTTTCACTGTATTACATAACAGATGTGGTGAATATCGTGCCTCGAAATATACAACACCGTTTTGCGCTTGATCTTCACATAATTCATATGCAACTCGTTCAATAGCATCCTTATCACCACTACAAGATTTAAATTTTAATTAAATTTTCAAAATCGAAAAAAATTAAATTATATATAAAACTTCTCAAAAAATGTTGTTTTTTGTTGCAATGCATAGAATACAAGCATTTATTGCATTATGGGAAAAACAATAAATCTTTAAAATGTTAACAGATTTTTTTTTTTGTTGAGAAATTAATTCAGCAAAATCAATTTAACTTGTAAGTTTCAATTTTTAACAATAAAAAAGAAAAAAAAATTATTGATTAACAACAAACGCAAGAACAGGAAGAAATAAATCAAATGGTTCCAGCATTTTGGATAAATTCGATGGCTCACGAGTAACAACAACATCTCGTACTTCATCAACTGTCTTAGCCCCTTTTAAATCGATCTTTTTTTCTCTGAAAAGTTTTACTTTTTTTTAAAAATATTCAATCAATAATAAGCAGGTTAAAAAAGTATAAATCAATAGAATAATGAGTCAATTTTAATCATTTCCCATCAACCAGAATAGCAATAAATTGGTTAGGTAAATATCAGGTAAGTATTTTAAGTAAATTTTAAGCGGATAAAAAATATTTTATCCAAATATGTAATATATTCGTTGATTAAAATTGATCAGTTTAGATCATCAAAACTTTCACAGCTATTTTTTACGATGTATTTTCTTTTTTAATTGTTTTCTCAAAAAATTTATAGTAAAATTCAGTTGACTTTTACAATGTTACTGTTATATAGGAGGAATTTAACAAATTACACCATTAATGGAATTGACAAATGACTGCAATGATGATAGTGATCGGAAAAACAAACTTCAGCCCACTGAACTGTTTGCCAGAGATCAGACGAAGAAAATTAAAGGTAAATATTAAATAAATTTCTGTAAATATATATGAGAAAGAAAAAAAAAAGACTGATAGGTGCTTACATAGAAAGTTCAAGCAAAGTTTGATGTCGTATAGCGCCGTCTAAATGTAAATGTAATTCAACCTGAAAAAAATAAATTTTTTTTTTAACTTTAAATTTTTTTTGCAAAATCAAGAAGAGAAAAACGAAGGAACAAAAAACTACCACATAAAATTTGAAATGGATAAAAAAAGCATTGAAAAAAAGAAAAAACCAATGAATATTGGAATTTAATAATTCATATTTAAAATTCAAAAGCTCATCCTGTGATTACTTTTGGGAAATCAAATCGTTTGCGTATTTCATCATCCACCTTTGATATATCAGTCATTTTCTT